TGCCCTGGAAATGCCATGGCATTAAGTGACAGGAGAAGGGCACAGGCCACCTGCCAGCTCCAGTGACTGTATGGGGAGGATGTACATGGATTTACTGTCAGGGAGGGCTGGAATTTGTGTGTGTAGTTCAGTGCATGGACAGAGAAATCAAACTAAATGAAGCTAGAAAGGAAGGTGTTGGTCATTAGTGCAATGTTTGTATATGTAAAATGAAATATTCCACCAAATTAGATATAAAGCAGTGTATAAAGGGCATAGGGATAAGAACAGATACCTCAACTCCACTTTTAGGGTGCTCAGCAGATCCCAGGGCTTTCCTGCAGCATCTGCATCACTGTTTGGGAGAAACTAAATCACCAGTAAGTGGCCATCCAGGACTGGTCAGGGGTTGGGGATCACATGGCTGCCAGAGGATTCAGAGGTGGAAAATGGCACCAAAGGTGGATGCTGAGCACCTTGGGACTGGGGCAGGGACTGGGGAAGGGGCATTTGATCCCTGATCTGGGAGTCTTTGCTGAGATTTGTCATTACAGATCACTCCCAGGCTGGAAAGGAATTCAGCAGGTCATCTGCTCCCTCCCCAGAATTGGTGTGGAATCAAACACACCCAGAGCATCCTCCAAGGAGTTGATAACTTGTTCCTGAAATCATTTTCTCCAGGAAAGCCATGCCAGTGTGTACTCAGCCTTGCAATTGGAAGTGTCTCCCTACAAACTCCTGGACATCTTCCTTGCTGGGGTTTAAGTCCTCCTGAGCTGACACAGTAAACTAATCATAATCTCTTCCTGACAACTCCTCATGCCTGACAAGAAATCCTGTAGCATATAGACTCTGAGTGCCCTCTCTCTGCCACAGCCAACAACCCCAATCCCCTGAACTTGTCCTTGTGGTCTTATTTCCCAGGTCTCTTATTCCTGATGGCAGATGGAAGCTGGTGAAGGCATCTCCCCCTCCCAAAAGGTGACCCACTAAGGATGTTTGTCAACTCAGATCCCCTTTACTGCAGTGCAGACACACAGGAACAGAGTTAAAACTGTGAACTAACTGTTGATTTTAATGATAAAAAAGATGAATAACACTATTCTGAGAGGACTTAAACTTCAGTGAACATTGCAGAGCCACAGCTCCTTTTCCTTGGCTTAATTCCATTGGTCCCTGCCCCATCCCCTCTCCTCCCGTGTGAGCTCTGCCATCTTCTTGGAAGACGAAGCCTTCTTCCTCTGGAGTCTTCACCAAGCCTGGGACCAGGATACTGCCATGCTAACCCATCCAACACAGCCTTCCTCCAAGCTACAATCTTGTATTTTGACATTCAGACTAGCAAACTAGTTGTGGGGGAACCCACCATGCAAAAGGCAAACTGAACAGTAATTCTCCCTTCTCACTCCCTGCAGCACCCTTGGGTTGGGCTTCTCCAAGTTCCAAGGTACCCTGGATACCCTCTCCTCTATGAGCAGCCTTCATCCTCTCCTGACAGCTCCGTCCCATTCCCCTCAGAGGCCTCTCTCCTCCTTCAGAGAGCAGATAAAGCCAAGGGACCCCACAGTGGGGCTGTGTTTAGCTGCAATCTTCCTTTTCTAGCTCTGCAGGAAGTTTTGGCACCCACCAGCTGGTGATAAGACACCATCTCCTCACACTCCTTTTCTGTGGTTAGTCAGAAAGAGACACAGTATTAAATCTCAGGCAACACGTGCAGTAAAATCACTTTACACTTATTCTGTGACTTTCCTTTAAGACAGAAATCTCATCCCTTAACTCCTGCCCTCAGAAAAGCTCCAGTCCCCGTGCTGTCCCTGAACAGTGGCCTTAAGAGGGTGCCAAAAGCCCTGAAAAACCTCACTGATCAGCTGCCAAAACCTGGAACTTTCTGCCTGAGGATGACTCCAGTCCAGGCAGCCACTGCTGTGCGTGACATTTGGCAATGCCAAGACAAGTGGAGCTCAAGTAAAATAAATAGACCAACTGCAAGTGTGTTAGTCATACAAGGAGTGCTGCTCCAACCACAAAATGCTTTGTTTCCATGAGGATTAATTAAATCTAGGTTTGGAAGGTGCTGTAGGGATTCCAGAGTGGCAAAGAAAAGATCTGGCACCATCTCAACAGCAGGAGTGAACATACAAATGAACCACTCCAGAACGAAGACATGCTGTTGTGTTCCTACACTGCATGCCAGCTAAAAGGAAGGGACAAGCTGGGTGACAGAGAAAGGGCTGTGCAGGGCTGGGATGAAACTCCCAGCTCCAGGTCTGGCCCACTGGTAGGGCCTTTCCCAGAGGAGAAGTCCACACCATCAATCAGGATTGAGAAACTTCCTGTGCAAAGGTCATTTGTTCAAAGTAAACTCAAATCTGCATATTATCTCTGCTGTCCTGCCCCTGCACCAGGAGCAGCAAAGAGATTCCAGCTGGTTTACCTCCAGCAGACCCAGGAACGCTCCAGGATTTCTGGCCCTGCTGAGAGATAGTCCCTATCCCAGGATCCTCTTAGAAAGCAACATCTGAACCCAAAAATTCCCACTAGGCAAAGGTGACCCTACCCTAACCCTTCTCCTTAGAGGGTTTTCCCAGGCAGAGATTCAATGACCTCCTCAGGCAATGCAATCCTTTAGCCTTAAGCTTCCAAAGCAGGCCAGAGAACGATGTCACCTTGCTCCCTGCAGCCTCACTGCAGAGGTTTGCAGGCTCCATTGGGCTTCCCCATCTCTAGGCTCAGGTCATTCCTTCCTCACTGGCCCCACCTGTCCCACCTCATGGAATCCCAGACTGGTATGGGTTGGAGGGGACATTAAAGCTCATCCAGTCCCACCCCCTGCCCTGGGCAGGGACACCTTCCACTAGTCCAGGTTGCTCCAAGCCCCATCCAACCTGGCCTGGAACACTCCCAGGGATGGAGCAGCCACAGCTGC